TTGTCACATTCATAACGTACTTTCTCTTCCGGTGGATACTTCATCATCGGTTTTGAGATCATCTTACCATTTTCAACCTTGGGAGGATTCCCACAGGAAACGTCTAATGAGAGAGAGAGAGACACACACACAGACAGAGGAAAAAACTGTCCACTTGTGTTCATTTTGAGTAGGAAATCAATAAACAAGTTTCTAATATATTTCAAAAGAGGTTTAAAATCAGTAGACAATTCATAGGAATGGTTGCTAATGTTAAGAAATATACATGGAAGATTTAGGAAAATTAAGTTTAAAATACTGAAACATGTAAACTTTCACAGCCTTAAATATCTTCTCTATCTTTTTTATAACATAGGTTTTTTCCCCTTGTAGCCTGTGAAAATGAGAATTGTCCTGCAAATTCATAGACTGAGTGAAACAAATACCATTTACTATGAACCCAATATGAATTTAGAAAGTGTCAAAATTGGAATAATTTAATTATGCAACACCAGATATTTATTTGAAATTATTTTGCTTATTAATAATCCTTTTAGCTCCTTAGAAATGTAATAGAATTATGCATTTCTTTAAAGGATATGTCAAAAATGAAGAGCACACTTTAAAGGGGTATTATAGTATAAAAAGACTGATTCAGTGAAATAATTCATATAGGACTTGCAAAATAATAACGAGGTAAAGAAAAAGAAACCTATTCAATTTGTAATCCAAGGCTATAAGCTATTATGGCTTTTACATCCATCTGAAACTCTCCAAAAAATGATGCACATGTATTATTACATTGCTAATCATTCTCAAATACATAGTTCTTTATAGCAGTGGTTCTCAACCTTCCTAATGCCGCCACCTTTTAACACAGTTCCTCATGTTGTGGTGACCCCCCAACCATAAAATTATTTTCATTGCTGCTTCATAACTGCCATTATGCTACTTTATGAATCAGGTGACCCCTGTGCAAAGGTCGTTTGACCCCCAAAGGGGTTTCAGGCCACAAGTTAAGAACCATAGCCTATAGTATCCTTTTTGAATGGAGAGTCTGTCCAAATTCATAATTACTTTAGTCAGTGAATTGGTCGTAAATTTTTCCTAAACAGCTAAACTATTTAATGTCACAAATGAGTAATAGAATAAGTATAGTGACAGAGTCCTGCATCTGATCTTCATGTAATATTTAAAGGAATAACCTGATGAACAAGTCAGTTTCTCTATTTTGTCCCCAAGAATTCTAGAAGGTCCTTTGCAGAAGGTCCAATGCAATTTGCCCTGAGTTCACCCATAGAGAGTTGGACTGCTCACATTTCCAAAATCAGGCATAAAATTAATTTTTTCCTTATAACTCATATACATATTGAAATTGGTCTCAGAGTGATAATAGCTTTCTTTGCTGGGGACTTAGGCTTTTGTTAATTTATTTTTGGATCATATCTGTCAAGACATTGCAGTAATTGGCCTTATTTGTATCATATTTTGTTTCATGGAATATCCGGTGTAATGATGGCTAC